CATTCCTAAGGATAAATAAGATGACCTCTTGTTTAAGGAGTGGGCGAGGGTGGGGTCAGAGGTGCCCAGGGGAATTGTGACCCCTGAGACCAGCCTGGAGGGGGAGAGCTGATACTGATTGATCACAGGATTAGAGCTGAGGCTCCAACCCCCACCCACCTGAAGACACCCCTCCAATGCCCACCTTGGAGCACCTGTGAGAAGCAGGAGGAATCCTATTTGCCTGGTAGTTTTACTCCATCAGTGGTGTGTGGTCTGAAATATTATTTTCAAATTTATAAAAAACCCTATAGGTGAACTCTAGGGTAGAATGCAGAAATCACATGAATTTTTGAAACATAAGGATGCTTTGACCTAATGTAAGGAAATATATGACCAGTGACCTTTGATTGCACCTTTGAGCTTTGTGCTTCTTGGTTTGGGCCTTCTTTTCCTGTCTGAGTTTCACTTTTTTTGTCTGTGAAATAAGAATAATGTCCCTTGTGTATATATGGCAGGAAACACATTTCCATCCTGTCTCTGCTCACACAAAACATACATCAGTCCCCAGTCCCTCATCTGCATTTCCAGAGTCTCCAAATCCCTGAAAGTCACACATTTTTTAAAATACTTATAAAAGTTATTGATTTATACAGAGAGAAAGAGAGAGAAATAGAAACAAGTGGGGGAGGGAAAGTATTGGTGCCTCTCCCCCTTTTCATAAGGACACCATTCATATTGGATTAGTCCCACACTTATGACCTCATTTAACCCTAATTATAAAATACAGTCACTTGGGGCCTGGCCATTGTGGCTCAGTGGTTGAGTGTTGACCCATGAACCGAGAGGTCACTGGTTCGATTCCCAGTCAGTGCACATGCCTGGGTTGTGGGCTCAACCTCCAGTAGTAGGCATGCAGGAGGCAACTGATTGATGCCTCTTTCATATTGATGTTTCCATCTCTATACTTCTCCCTTCTTCTCTCTCAATAGAAACATATTAAAAAATAAATGAATAAGTATAGTCACATAGGTGTCAGGCCTGCAATATATAAATTTGGGGGGACAGTTCTGTCCATAACACCAGGTGACTCACCAAAAGTTCTCTCGAGTTAAAAAATAAGTCCCCATGCCCTGACTGTTTGGCTCAGTGGATAGAGCATCCGCCTGCAGACTGAATGGTCCCAGATTCGATTCTGATCAAGTGCATGTCCTAGGTTGCTGGCTGATCCCCAGTGGGGGGCGGGCAGGAGGCAGCCAATCCATGGTTCTCTCTCAACCTTCATGTTTCTATCTCTCACCCTCTCTGCT